TTATTTCTTAAGTGTCTATGTATTGTATGGGTTTAAGAAAGATTTTAAATTCACCCAAAGGTAACACATTTTGAACAGAATCACATTAGATTCTTGGAATTTCATTAAAAAATGTCACATGGATATACAATTTACACTTTAAATGCAAAAGACTGAGAAATTGTGATATTATTCTTCACAAATGAAAATGGCCACGTCTGTATGGTATGTTATTCTATAACTATGCATTGTTTTCTCCAAGAGAAAGTGGCTTCCTTAAATAGTGTTCTGAAACTGGCAAGATGAGGATGTTGCCTTCCTCCTCTTACTCACTGTACTAATAATAAAGGTTATTAGAGGGACGGAATAGCAGCAGCAGTGGTAAGTCCACCTCCCTTGTTTCAGGCTGACTGGCAAAGCCCTCTGGCATAGCCATGGACGTCAGCACACGGTCCTTTCACTACTAGGGAAGTGACCTAGAATGAGGATACATGCTATGACCAAGGTCAAAGTAGGCAAAGAAGATACATCATCCACTTTATAGAAAAAAGAGAGCAGCTCTTGAAAAGCATCTTCAAAGAACAGCAAGACATCTGACTTTGCGACAGGATCTTGAATGAAGGCAGTTCTTGGAAAGCTCCAAGGAGTTAAGAGGTCAGAGTAGAGCAGAAATGTTTAGAATGGTGAAGCAGACTACCGAAACAGTCAACAAATTGGCAGTCAAGATGAATGAACTGGATGCATAGTTAGAAGAAAAGCAGTAACAATTTGAGAACCTGGATCAAGAACTTTCAAAATTTCATTTCGGTTTTGAGGATATGTTCTATTATAGAAAAGAACTTCCAGCCAATACTGCTGCCTCTGCTAAAAGCACTGTCATGTTAGGTAATGCTGAGGATTATATTGCTTTATCAACAGTGTTGTCTTAGTTTGCAGACCAGTTACATTAACAACAATCTTCTGCTGACTTTCATGCATTTGCAGATCTACTTAGTGACTGCATTCTTCTTTTGTTTCAGTGAAAGGTATGGTTATCCACCAAGCAAAATGCTGGTAGATGTGGGAAAATGCTAAAAAAAAAAAAAAAGAAAAGAAAAGGAGGCAAAACGACTGTCGATAATAAACCAGACAAAATATAATAACTTAAAAATGAAATTAAAGAATGAAAGAGGAAAGTACAAGGAGAAAGAGATTTTGAACAGATTCCAAAACAAATAGAAAAGAAGTGGGAAGAGTTGAGAAAGAACAAGTGGAGAGTTTGAAGTACTTGGAGTCATTAGTATGCCCGCAGAAGCTGGGAGAATACTGGGGTCCATTTCTACCTGAAGGCAGAGGCATTGGCTAACAATAAGATTACTTCTATTAAGACATTATAATTGTTTCAGTTATGATGAATTCTATAGTAAAATAATCTAAAACTAAATAAGTCAGTATATATTTTTATAAATTACACATGTACATAAATATAAGCCTTTTTAAATGAAATTTTATCATATGCTGTTTGTCCTGACCCACTTTCAGTGCACAGTAGTGTGACATTCTGTAATATTTTCTGGAATCAAATACTATTGTCTTAAATATTTGCACTAATAAGTGTACTCAAAAGCCAGAAAATTTACAATATTTTTCTTTATGTTTTGTAGTAATTTACTCTATTTAAAAAGTAGATAATCAGTGCACTGATTGATGCTTACATATATTTCTAAACAGAAATTATGACTTTAGGATACAGTGATGAAATGAAATTTCCTGTGAAGTATTAGCACAAATTATTTGAGTATGTAAGCATATTAAGGATCTTTTTATTAGAAATATTTTCTTGTAAATATATGTTAATACTATGATTCTTTAGATACTATAAGTGGAAAAAAGCTGAACTTGGGCTGGGATGTAGGACAGAGATCTGGGTTAGATCCCTAGCACTACATAAATCTAGATGTGGTGGTGCATTCTTGTAATCCCGTAATCTCAGCACTTAGGTGGAGGCAGGAAAATCAGAGTTCAAAGTCATTTTCTGCTATGTAGTGGGTTCAGGGTCAGCCTAGGTCACATTAGCTTCTGTTTCAGAACAAAAGAAAAAAGGGGAAAAGAAAAATGAAAAAGCTGTACTCACATATTAGTAAATGATCAAGGGAAGCTTATAAATTTTCTTTTTCTTTTTTTTCCTTTCTTTTTTTTTTCGGTCTTTATGAGACAGGGTCTCCCTGTAGCCCCAGCTGTCCTGTAACTCACTATGTAGACAAGGCTATCCTTGAACTCACAGAGATCTGCCTGCCTCTGTCTGCCTCCCGAGTGTTGGGATTAAAGGCATGCGCCATCAATCCTGGCACAAACATAAATTTTCTTATGGACGCATCATAAATAAAACAATTATGTCTTGCAATTATCTTCACTTATTTTTAATCCATATTTTAAGTACTCACTTAAGAATTAGGAAAAATGTGATACATGCTTCTAAGTCCCATAGATTCTGATGTTCTTCTATTTTTTATTAAAATCTAAGAGTTTTCATATATTTAACTTACTCCTTGCTAAAGAAGGTTACCAACTAAAGTGATTCAGGTTAGAGTTATTTATTTATCTTTACCTAACAGAGAGATATGGTATTTGCATCCTTGAATTTAGCATTTTCAGGAACAATTTGGGACAGACACTGGTACCAACCCAGAGGTACAATAGCCAAGAAAGGTTCAGAAAATATGGAAAGAAAGGAAGGAATAAAAGGCCAAACAAATGTTCTTGGAAAGAGAATTTCTGTTCTTATATAACTAAATCCACAGTTTCCCAAAGACAAGTATATGGAACCTAAGGGTAGTAACCTAAAGATGCATCAATACTGCAAGGAAAGGACTCTAACAGGAAACAAAACTTTTAGGAATATACATTAATTCATGGAAACTGTTCCCTAGAGGAGTTTGTGAACTAGTGATACAAATTAAAACATACATTAAAGGGGTTGGGGATTTAGCTCAGTGGTAGAGCGCTTGCCTAACAAGCGCAAGGCCCTGGGTTTGGTCCTCAGCTCTGAAAAAAAACAACAACAACAAAAAACATACATTAAAAACTAGTAAGTAAGCTGGGCACGGTGGCACATGCCTTTAATCCCAGCACTCAGGAGGCAGAGGCAGGCAGATCTCCGTGAGTTCAAGGCCAGCCTGGTCTACATAGTGAGTTCCAGGCCAGATGGGGCTTTAGACCCTGTTTCAAAAGACAAAAAAAAAAAAAAAAAGAAAGAAAAAAGTATTAAGACTTACATGCATATATTTGACTCCAATGTAACATTTAAGGCTTCATTTCTGGCACTACAGAGATTGTTCAGCTGAAAGATGTTTTTGGAGTTAATGTGGAGAAACTAAGGTTTTCTGGTGGGTGAAGCCACACATAGAACAGGCAAGTCTTCTTTTTAAGCCAGGAGCAACTCCAAATCCAAGGTTCAGAGACCAGGCTGACAGCAGTTCCTAGTGCTGGGGGCTAGAGGAATGTTACAGGTACAGGACGATCGCCAGATCCCTTTGAGGAGGAAGAGCACAGAGACTGAGGCAAGGCTACCAACAAGTAGAACTGTACTTCCATCTGCCTGGCAGTGAATGCTGGGCTGTGCTGGGGTCTGGCAGCAACTCCTGAAAATTCATAGTGAAAAGCAGGTACAGTGTAATGACTGTCCACTACATAGGCCCTGTGGTGGTCACCAGGTAGAGAGTTCCATAGTAGACAGTGCAGTACAAAAAGTCCTTACCTAGTTGAAGCTCCTGAAAAACTCTGCATTTTTGTGACAGTTATCCACCATCACAGGGAGGCTCAGAATGACACTGTGCCAGGCACAATGGCACACAGCTGTAATCCAGCACTTGGGAGACACAGACAGAGGGATTATAAGTTTGAAGCCAGCTTGCACTACATAACGAGATCCCACATTACAAAGCGAGATCCTATTTCAAAGAAAAATAATGGCTCAGGATGTGACTTGGTGGCAGAGCACTTGCCTGGCATAGGAAAGACCCTAAATTCAAACACTGGCACCACAAAAAGAAGGGAAAAAAAA